CTTTTAGACGCCATTTCTGCTCCTCCATGCTGTCACAGACACTACCAGTAGACGGTATGGGCGGGGCTCAGTCTAGTGATCTTTATGTTTAAGTCTATGCTGGAAACTCAGTTTCCACAGCAAAGCCAGTGTTAAATCWCCCCTGACTGAGAGAGTACCAACCAAGAAAGAAGCCCCTGCTCCGAAAGCTACTCTTAAAAAATTGACTTGAAGTTTCAGCCAAATGCCTTCTGGGAAAAAAAGAGGTTTCATGCCAGATGAGATGATAGTCAATTGCACTATTGATCTATTTACGTATGATTGGAGAATTTGACATGAGACTTTCAAGCTTGAAATAATGCAGCAACTGCCAAGCACGGCGGTGGTATCATCACGATGTGGTAATGGTGCACTTCACAAAATGGATGGCAAAATGGAACCTCTAAATTTTTCAAATTCACAAACTGACAGTTATAACCTGGTCCCAAGGGGCTGTTCCTACACCAAAACATTTAAATGATCCCAAACCCAAATCAGAACTGGTCTCTGATTGGATAAARCAGGTCAACATAAAGCAGGATGATAATAGGTTGGATTTCTTAAATAGCTTTCTCAAATCCCTGAACTCAATCCATTTAAACATTTGTAGACTATGCCATAAAAACACTGCTTTATATAATTCAKACCAGTGAATTAGAAAAAAAATAATTCAAACTCACTGAAGTTGCATTTTGTAAAAAAATGCGATTGATTAACTGAATTTCAGAGACACACATTATATACTTTGTGACTGATTGTGATCATTTACTTTAAACAGTAAGAGAATCARCAAGTCTCTATTTACAGTAGTTTCCRTTTCTATAACTTACTTTCTTGTTTACTATGACATCATACCAGGTTTTCTATAAACATATAAGAATACGTGACTCKGGGTAATTTTGCACCACATCGCTGGGATGTGATAAACTTTATATGTCCACGAATAAACATTAAAGTCTGAATACTGGACTGGTTTCCCAAGCCTGATTTGAGTTCTCATGGTTGAACAAATCTGTAAATTAATTCAACATTCATGTCCAGCCATGAGTACAAACAGAGGTAGTTGGCTTCAGATCAAAAAAATACTGAGAAACAGGAAGTTACCTGCAGGTGTTTGATGGTAAAAATGACGGGGTCAGACAGATAGACTTTGTTCGAGTCTTTGTTGATGGCGGCTGTGATCACCGGTGAGTTGACGATGACCGAGTAATTGGTCGCCAAGGCTTCGCTGCCCAACTTSATGCTGGCATTTTCCGTAGAAAGGTACCCGCCGATGTGTTTATACAGGACAAATGCTATTCGGATTTCACCTGGAAGAGAGGAKTTATAGTAAGTTTTGTGAAAACTATGACAAAATACACCCTATAGGCAGTGACAATTTAACTTTGTGTCAAGAAAACATATTCAAACAGTGAATAAATTAAATAGTATTAATATTAAATACCAAATTTGAAAAAAAAAAGCATTTTGGCTAACGTTTCTACCGCCAATTGCAAAGGTGGGTATTCTTGTCGACACTTTGCCTCATTCACATTCGTCTCCCCAAAGGGTCTCTCTTTTAAGTACCGATATCAAAGAAAGTTCCCCCCCGTCGTGATCAAGATCTGCTCCCTCCAAGTAGAAAACAGTTTGGGTGCTGCAGCCATAGTCGAAGGGGAAAGTACAAGACTCCCTCCAACCAGATCTGCCTGTGCACGGCTGGACATGGAGTCGGTTATCCAGCTGAGAGACATCCGGCTCAGCTGGAGTCGGTTCTGATTTGCATGAGGTGGTAATAAAAATCATAAAAATAGGGGCAGCGCTGCTCTTGAATCATGAATTGTGTCTAACTGCCTCTTTTACTGTTCAAAGGCAGTGCTTGAATATAACTAATGCCGTGTCCTACGAGATGACCGGAGAAAGTTTGAAACTCTTTATAAGATGACCAAAAAAAAAAAAAAGGCTTAAACATTAATTCAAATTACTGGATGGCAATAAATACCTCCCACTGCCTTCAAAAGCAGGTGATCATGTGAGCCTGTGTGTGTTTGTTTCAGGGTTTGAAAAGTTTTCATTTTAATTATTTTTTTATCTGCCCACTGGAGCAAGTGACACAAAATGTTACCTGCCCAAAACAAAAATGTTCAAAATGTGATACAATATAAGAAAAATRTGTTCTGTACTAAAATGTGTATTACAAAGATATTACCCGGGTTACACACAGAAATACATAATATGACATCTGATTAAGCACAAGCAAACACTGCAGAATGAGTCACTCGCTAAGTCAGGACATGCATTGTATTATTAATAAAATGATAAATATATTCAGTTAACTTTTTAAGACCTCTCCAGCRTTTACCTAGACCACACAGGTCCATCAAAGTCAAGGTCTGCAGGCCAAATGCGGCCTGCAGGTGACTTCCGTCCGGCCCAATTTAGGATGGCTGCCATAGCTAAAAAAATGGCTAAAACTCTGCCATTTCTTTAGAGGCTGAGCTAGAATTTAGTGGGATAAAAGCTGAGAGTTATCACCATCTGACCACTAACAGATCTTGCAAATTTTTTCATGTTTGACATGTGAAGCAACACGCAATATGCATTCCTTCAATTTTTATTATTTTGTCACATGAACCAACCATTTCTATTAAAGCTTTAATGATTGTTTATCACGACTATCGTTTGCACTCAGGCAAAAAGGACAAAAAAGAGGAGAGTCAAATGGTTTTATTGTCTTACCGTTCCTTCCATGCTGCTTCAGTGTATTAGCTGACAGGTGGATGGAGTTTCCCTGTCCTCCACTTTGTGGGAACTTCAGATCAGGCAAATTCCCATCTGTGCTCATCCTCGCTACCTCCAGCTCTGCACACAAACAGAGCAAACCCACTCAAAATTAACTAATCGAATAAAAGCTTTGAATTCAACTACAGCCTCAGGTTTTTATTATAAAAGCGTGGAGGCTCTCTAAACATGCAGTAYAGCTAAACCTTGGATAACATTTTCCCGAATGAGCTTATTTTTTTTCTTTTTCTGTTAAAATATAGTAAACTTCAAACATAATTTGTTATGTTCAAACATTTAGACTAAACTACTCATAAAAATATAAACCATAGTTCAGATTTTGAAGTGAGATTCTGCAGAAATTTTTAAACAATTGTATCTTACCTGATGTCACTAGCTCTTTAAATGACCTAATTCCGACCATATTGACAAGCTAATGGCTAGTCTTAGTGGTGCCAAGCTGCCCTTTATCTTCAGTCTCTGAATTATCAATATGGTTCATGTAAACTATTTTAAAAACCTTAACACCACACATCACATTACATAGTTTACATCAAATTCTATGATTAATTAAAAATGTTAATAGCACCAGCTAACTGCAGCATTTCTGTTAAAGCCTTGGCCCTCCAAAATACACAAAAAAACAACCTTCAACAGTGAACCACCCCTTTAAACGCATCACCAACAGTGTCACAGATTTAAAAAAAATCTTTTATAACAGGGTTTAGTCACTGCATTTCTGCACATCACAAAATGCAGCACTTTCCTGAGTCATTCGTCTTTGAAGGCTTTTAAATCTGAGCACAGCGAGTGTTGGGGTCTTACTATAGAAACTGAGCTTATCAAATGTAAAGCAACATTTTTCCTTTCAGATGTAAAAACAAGATTCTCTTTTGCTTTACGAGASAGAGAGAGAAATACATATCAGGGAATCACTTTTTCTCATTAGAAAGCAGAGACAGAGATACACAAAAATGATAAAGCGCAGCCTCTACAGCAGCTCAACAGCTGTTGTGTCTGAAGCAAGCTCCTAATTTATGGTTCAAAGATTTTCGTGTCAGGCTGAAGAAGAAAACGAGCGGCTGATAGGAACCCGGCTGAAATAAAGAGCTCATTCCGTCAAAGATATTATGCTATGACACAATTTGATTTTAAACAGCGGGTCTAGTATTCTCCAATCTCGAGTAGTGGCGACTTGTGTGAAGTCTTGACATTCCTAAATGTCAAATTAACTTTCAGGGAACTGAAACTAACGGACTGAGTCATCGAGGTGTCAGAGGACAGCCAGAAAGCTACGGAAATGTTACATTTTTAAATAAACATATCAGATAAATTACAGTTAGGGGTGTAAGCAAATCTGCAGTGGCATAAATAGCACTTTATACAATCCACACTCAGCAGTTTGGCAAGAAGAACATACACTGATTGTATCAACATAGTACTTCCCACAAAGGTTCATTAATTCCTATCATGGGTGTATTAGGAGTTGAGCTAACAAGGCTTGTCTATTAAAGGCACAGTGTGTAGGATTTGTTGTTTTCAGCTACATCTAGTGGTTGAGTGGTTGAATCATCCTCCCTGGTCCTCCCCCCACCCCC